CAAAACATACTTACAACGCCCGCATGGGGCCCTTGCACAGAAAAGAAGAAGAGAACCTAATCTATTTTCGGGGTCATATCCCCCGGAGCGCCACCTTCGGCAGCTCTATCTTCAGGAGCCTCCTCTCTTTCGTGAACATCTTCTTCACCTTTCCCTTCCCCGGATCCACTCGCTACATCCTCATCATCGGAAGAGGCAAGAAACCTGGCATCGGTTTCCCGCGTCTTCGCCTCGGCTATCTCCTCGATGAGGTTGAACCCTTGGGCATGGATTTCTTCGAGTCTCCCTCCGGGCCTAACACTTGGCCAACTCATTGCTCCATTTTTCCCGGTCGCAGGCCTCCCTCAACTCAGCTTGGACGGCCCCACGTCCCTTAAGTACATTGCAATGGATTTATCGGCCGCAGCCTTTGTCTTCTCAGCTTCAGCCTTAGCCTGCATAGCTTCGGCCCGGGGTCTAGCAAGATCTGCCTCTAACTCCTCAATCTTCTTGGCCTGAGCCAGACCCTTCGCTTTAATGCCTTGGAGCTGAGTTTCAGCCGAGGCCACTTGGGCTGTAATAGCTTCCTTATCGGCAGCGGGCTGATCCATGTTCTTCTTTCACCGATGGCAATCAGCTTTAACTTGATCAACCTCGCTCCGGAGCTGCCCAATCAACGCCAACTTTTGCTGCAGCTGAGATATCGAAGTGTTAGCCTCCGAAGTAGGTCCAAGAAGACCATACCCTGCTAATGTCACGGTTACCTGCTCATATAGCTCGGCCTTATTTTTCTGGGCTTTGGCCAACTCAGCCTGAAGAGCCTTAAGCTCCTCCTCCTTTTGGTTACAGAGGAGCCTCAGGGCCCTCTCTTCGCTCGAAAATTTCTTGAGCTCGGCCTCACACCGGCTCAGCTCAGCTCTAAACTTTACAATGGCCTATACATGAAGTGAAGATGTATCAGTCAAGGGAAAAGAAAGAAAGAGGAAAGTATGAATATGAAAAGTAAGTGTTTTACCTGAGAGAGGAGATGCTGAGCCTCTTCGAAGAGGGCGGAAGAATCGTTGAGGTCGGCGGTATCATCGATCTTAGAAAAGCAACTCTGAAAGAGATCTTCTCCGAGGACCTTGTTTGGGTCGGGCATACGCAGAGTATTAGCTTCCTCTATTGCCCCCTCGGAATAAGTTGGCAAAGAAAGGCAGCGACCTATTTTCATGACCCCGAGATCATCGCTCGGGGCGTTCTCATTAACTTTGGGGGTCTCAGCATTTGCCCCTTCCGGCATGTTTGATGAAGGCGGAGGAACGATCTCAACCTTCGGGGACACGGGGACCTTGCCCGTATCTTTCTTCGAGGTTTCCTCACCACAAGATGAGGTCTCTAGTTTGGAGGGCTTGGTGACCTCAATGGGTTTCCTGGCTCGAGGCACCAGCGCCGACTCTTCGCCATCGTCTTCTTCGTCGTCTGGGGAACAGTAGGCTGAATCTGCGCCCGGTTGAGCAAACATCTTCCGCAGCCTTTGAGCAGGGGTTTTCTTATCGTGAGGGTCTTCAGGCTTCGAAACCCTCTTCCTTTTATTGTAATTCTCCGATTTCGGAGTCGAAGGTTTGGTCTTTTCCCTGGGCGGAGCCGGCCTCATCTCGGATGCATCTCCAAGGCCTGCACAAGTAAACATGAGTAAGTTGACGCCATCAATATATGGAAAGTGTTTGAAACATGGGAAAAGCACTTACCATGGTTCTTGGCCTCCCACTGGCCCTTTGATAATTCATGCCACTTGCGCTCATCGTAGGAAGAGGTGGCAGCTAACTTTCGGACCCAATCCTCGAGGTCTGGCACTACGAGGGGCGCCTAGGTAGTGACTGCCAAAAGAAGGGTAAAGGCATTACGAAATGTGAAAGTAGAACATGAATAGATACCAAGGAAAAGAACTCCACTTACGATTAAAGTTCCATCTCTCCGGGAACGACATTTTATCCCCGGGGATGACATCCGAAGTTCTTACTCTGACGAACCGGCTCATCCAACCTCGATCTTTGGTCTCGTCGGTACTGGCAAAGAAGGCTTTCGTTTTTCGACGTTGCAACTTGATAAGCCCTCAAAATAGCTGAGGCCGATATAATCGAATCAGGTGGCTGAGGGTGAATTCCAGCCCCTCGGACTTTTCAGAAAAGAAGCGCAGCATGATCACGATGCGCCAAAAGGAGGGGTGAATCTGGCCGAGGGTGACTTCGTACGTTTTGTAGGAGTCAATCACCACCGGATCAAGGGGACCCAGTGTGGTAAGCATAAACTCTTAAAAAACCCTCCACATGGGTAGTAATGCTTTCACCGGGGATTGGGATCTGAACCACGACCTCATCTCCCCAGCCGCAGTCCTTCCTCACATCTTCAAGATGCTTCTCCGATATCAAACTAATATATTGAGATGCATGCTCGCATCGGCCTGGGACATCGGAGGGATTTTCATTACTAAAGTCATTTTTAATCACACAAGGGCCTGGGGTGATCTCCTCAACAGTTGGCGGCACCACTGGTTTGGCCGGCCGGGAGGTTGAAGAAGATGATGCTTTATCCTTTTTGGGACCGTTTTGGACGTTTTAGACATGATGTGAAGCCAAAGAATACAAGTTATCAGAATGTGGTGTTTTTCACAAGAACTTGGCGTTTTCCGGCACTTAAAGAGGTGGTGAAAACAGTTGATTGAGAGAAAGAGATGAGGAAGAGGAAGATGTAAAGAAAGAGCAAAGTTCTCTACTCAAACGAATAGCATCATATTTATAGAAGGGCAACAACAGTTCGGCGGAGCTAGTGGTCGACCAATACTAGCGTGCATTCAATATTTTGGGGAAGTAGACCGATGGGACGTTTCAGTCATTTCGAACACCTGTGTCACGCGAAGGACATCATCATTGAAGACATTGAGAAAGCGAGGATCAAATCGTTTCTTATCATCTCATTCTAAGAAACGCGGGACTATCTGTATACGGTCAAAATCGTATGCCTCCGATTTATAGGCTCGAGGGTCCGTCATGGGCCCGAGTTCGGGTGAGGTCGAGATTCGAGACTAGTGGACCAAAATCAAGCTCGAAGACAAAGTGCAATGTTTGGAGATAGGAGTACGGGGAATACCAGGCCCCAGTATGCCCGACTCCGAAATAGTTCCGTTATGGATTAGTACCAAAGCAAGCTAGATTCCTGCCACGTCCCCAAGGTCATGGCGCGAATCCCGAAATAAGATTGTACGATTCCGTACTAGGCGGTTAGACAGATGTAACAAGAATATTCCCTACTGTAAATGGAAATATTCCTTATTTAGGGTTCCCCTATTATATAAAGGGGACCCCAATCATTTGTAAGACCCATCTGATCACTGAGAATAGAATATACTCTACCTTTTTTGCCTACTTTTCATCAGCATTGTCCTTTAGCTCTATTGTCCTTGCTTTGCTTTTATACTTGTTCTTATTATACCACGCCTACCTCAAGGTCCCGTGCTCGAGGTCACTGCTGTTGAGTAACATTGGTTTGATTCACCTTTCTCTCTCATTTATTCTTTATATTTCTTGATTATTAATCGATATTAAATTAAACCATGTATATTTAAAAACACAAATTAAATTTGACTGTTACTCGTATTTTTCGAGGTAAACACTTCATATCACACCTTTTTTTACCAGTCAAAAGAAGCTTCGCTCTTGAACGTGCAAAAGCAGAGTTATCATTAATTTCATCCAAGAAAACGACTATGCCTCGATATAGTAGTCGGCGGTTTAATCGGTGTCGGTGGTTTAGATTTTTGAGCTCAAGAAAATTAAAGTATTTTCACAACATGTTAATAAGTACTACATGTAATGGAAAAATAAATATAGGTTAACTCCCAAGATAAACTTATTTTAATACGTACATTTAAATGAAAACAAATATATAGATAAACTCCCAAGACGCTTTTTTAGTCTGTTACCTGACTCACGACTACAAAGATACCACGTACTCCAAATTAATTATACAAATGAAAACGAAAGAATCTTCATATCCCTGTAGAAACGAAAAAGATAAGCCAATGGTTAGCATTTTCTGTTTAAGTCAATATTGTAGCATGTTGCTGTACATTTTGTTCATCGGTTTCAATAGTGATCGCTTATATGTTTATAATTTTTATTAATTCCCTTTTTTGCAGCGCTAGCTAGTTTAAATCCTATGTTTAGTCAGTTGCTTTAACCGAATGTTTTAGGGAAACGAATGATGGACTTTTCCTATTAGGTTTGAGGTGAGTAAGAGAATTAAAATATATGAATCTTTTTGAACCCGGAAAATTACTTAATAATTATTCATTCAATAGCTCCTTGACAAAATCGTGTGATTCTCTCGTTATAGTTAATTTTGGTTTTCGTCGAAGATAAGGAGCTATTTGATGAATAATTAGGTTCGATCTACGGAATAATAATTTAATTCTTTAATCTGATCGTGCCACTAGAAAATGTTTATGTACGTAACATGTAAGCTGTGTTATTGCAAATCCACCCCCCTCCTACTTTGTTGTCTTAATTAAAAAATAGTCCATTTTAAAGTTATTCCTACTCATTTTCCCCGATATCTCATCATTTTCCAATATCATTAAGTATTCGCCTATGTCAGATTAACAGATCTGAGCTTCATTGACCGTTAAAACATAAGCTTGATACACCCTCCATCCCACTTTATATGGTATTATTAGGCTTTTGAGAGTCAAATAAGTTTCTTTGACCGTAATTTTTAAATATTATAAACATTAATTATTGTCACTTATAGAGTAATTTTTACATAGTTTTCAAATGTATAAATTTATTTTAAATTTTTTAAAGATTATATATGGAATTCACGGTTAAAATCGAAAATTCGACTCGCGAAATTCAAACAGTGCCACGTAAACTAAGACACAAAGAATATATAATTAGGCCCGCCTATATAAATATTGTTGGAAACAAAAATAATGGATGCTAATATATGATGCAATACGAATATCTATATATCCATGACTAATCACGTCGACAACGTGCATGGCAGTACTCTCATGAAAAACTCTTATAAAAGCCTTTAATTTTTTGTTCCCTAGAGAAACAAGTTTCATACTTGATATCACACCTTCTTCGTCGGAGTAGCAATTTCGTCCAAATTCATCCTTCAAAAAACATGCAAAAACAGAGTCATAGCCATTTCAAGCCAGAGAAATCATGGTGCCTCGTTATAGCATTAGTAGGTTTAATAGGAGGTGCACTTTTCATTTCCGTGTTTTTCAAAACGTCAGAAAATTCCATCCTCTGCAATAATCAAGCTCCAAACATGGGGAAATTTCTCGATAATGGCAAGAGATTGAATCCGCAGCAACTCCAGCTCGATGCCATTTTACACTATGCGACGTCGCGAGTGATACCTCAACAATCAATCGACGAAATCAGGGTATCTTTTGATGTTCTGAAAAATAAAACTCCATGTAATTTCCTTGTATTTGGTCTAGGGCATGATTCTATAATGTGGGCATCGTTTAATTCCCGTGGCAACACATTGTTCCTAGAGGAAGATCCAAAATGGGTGGAAACAATACTAAAAGATGCCCCGTTCCTTCACGCTGACACCGTGAAATATCGGACAATGTTATCGGAGGCAGATGAACTAGTAGAACATTACCATAAGGAACCAGATTGTTCAGCGAAAAAATCATTCTTACGTGGCAATCATCGCTGTAAATTAGCGTTAGACATGTTATCAGATGAAGTATATAATAAGGAATGGGATGTAATTATGATAGATGCTCCAAGAGGGTATTTCGCAGAAGCACCAGGAAGAATGGCAGCTATTTATTCGGCAGCTGTTATGGCGAGAAACAGGAAAGGAAATGGTGTCACACATATCTATTTACATGATGTGGATCGTAAGGTTGAGAAGATTTATGCTGAGCTTTTCTTATGTAGGAAAAATTTGGTCAAAGGTGTAGGAAGGATTTGGCATTTTGAGATTCCTCCTGCTTCTAATGCGGGCAATAATTTTTGCTAGAGATCAATGTGCTATCTTGCAGTTTCCTTTAATTAATTTCTCTTTCTTTTCATTTGAATGTAATTTATATTCCCTTTTGAATAAGTGCATTAAACTTTCGATTTTCTTTCGTTACATCGACTACGACTATTTACTACTCGCCAATCACGTCAAACTCGCCACCACACACAGACTAAAGCGGACCATCGCCCATGAACGGTATGAGGACTTCGAAGATAGTATCACCTTCGATAAGTCTGATGCCGACGGTTTGTCTTTCCCTCATTATGATGCTTTAGTTATCACTTTACGTATCGCTGATACAGATGTTAAAAGAGTCATGATCGATGACGGAAGCGGCGCCTGTATTATCCACCCAAGGGTCCTCATACAAATGGGACTCGAGGATAAGGTAATACCGCGCTGCATAACACTAATCGGTTTTAACAATGCAGTGGAACGGACGTCCGGAGAAATAGTACTGCCCGTCTTAGCAGGAGGAGTCACGCTGGAAACAACTTTCCACGTGATGAACCAAGAAACGACGTACAACGTCATCATAGGACGCCCATGGATACACGCCATGCGAGCGGTCCCTTCAAGCCACTACCAAGTGATCAAATTTCCTACCCCATGGGGAGTATTCAGCATTCGAGGCGAGCCACGCACCGCACAAGAATGCTACAAAATAGCCCAAGACTGCGCCCACACCCAACAGCTAAAGGGGGCGAGCGCGGAGGCATAGCAATTAGCCGTGTCGGGAACTAAGGTCAACCCGATAACGGACGTGATCAAAGACCCCGACATCGTGGAAGCCTGTAAAGCAACGGTCGAAGACCTCGACCCAGTCCAATTGGACAAAATCGATCCTACGAAGAAAGCCTATATCGGGCAAAGTCTCGCCAACCCAAGTAAGTATTGTGAATTCTTAACTAACCATGCAGATTTGTTCGCCTTTTCCCATTCAGATATGCCAGGAATCCCGCGAGACATCGCCACCCACAAGCTGAATGTCGATCCATTACATCCGCCCGTGCGACAGATGAGGAGAAAATTCAACGCCGCTATCAATGAAGCGGTCGGTAAAGAAGTAGACGAGCTACTGGCCAACGACTCCATCAGGGAATCAAAGTACCCCGAGTGGGTCGCCAACGTTGTCATGGTAAAAAAGAAGAACGGGAAGTGGAGAATGTGTGTAGATTTTACCGATCTGAACAAGGCATGCCCAAAAGATTCATTCCCACTACCCCACATCGACCAACTGATCGACGCCACTGTAGGACATGAAATACTGAGCTTCCTAGACGCCTACTCCGGCTACAATCAAATTATGATGGCCGAGGAGGACCAAGAGAAGACAACTTTCATCACCCACCAAGGGACTTACTTCTACAAAGTAATGCCCTTCGGGCTCAAAAACGCGGGGGCTACATACCAGAGACTAGTAACCAAAATGCTCAAAGAGCAGCTCGGTAAGACTATGGAAGTCTATATCGACGACATGCTGGTAAAGTCGACAAGAAAAGAGGACCACCTCGACCATCTGAAAGAAGCCTTCAAAATATTGAGAAAATACGGGATGAAACTGAACCCCGAGAAATGTGCCTTCGGCGTGGCATCAGGAAAATTCTTAGGGTTTCTCGTATCACAACGAGGTATCGAAGTCAATCCAGATCAAATCAAGGCGATAGACGCAATACCAGAGATACTGAACAGCAAAAAGCAGGTGCAAAAACTGACCGGGCGAATAGCCGCCTTGTCTAGGTTCATCTCACGGTCTTCCGACAGATGCCACAAGTTTTTCAGTGTGCTAAGAAAGGACAATGGGTTACAATGGAACGAGGAATGCATCGAGGCCCTAATGAAATTAAAGGCGTACCTGTCTTCACCGCCACTGCTAGCCAAAGCAAACCCAGGTGAACCACTGCTGGTGTATTTGGCCGTGTCCGAGGTTGCCGTCAGCGCAGTCCTAGTCCGCGAAAGTGAAGGTACACAATCTCCTATTTACTATATTAGCAAAACCTTAGTGGACGCCGAAACACGGTATCCACATCTTGAAAAATTAGCTTTGGCATTGGTCGTAGCTTCGCGGAAGCTCCGACCCTATTTCCAATGCCACCCCATAAAGGTAGTGACGACCTTCCCCTTGAGAAGTATCCTACAAATACCTGAGTTATCAGGCAGACTCGCCCGATGGGCCATAGAGCTCAGTGAGCACGATATCTCATATCACCCAAGGAGCGCCATCAAGTCGCAAGTACTTGCCGACTTCGTAGCTGACTTCAGCGCAGAGATCTTACCAGAAGCGGAATAAGAGGCTCGCCCTGCCCCCTCCGATGCCGACCTATGGACTCTATACACTGATGGCACCGCTAACGCCTCGAGATCGGGACTGGGACTCGTTCTCGAGGTCCCCACGGGCGAAACAATTCGCCAGTCCATACGATGCCCCGAGATGACTAACAACGAAGCCGAGTACGAGGCTGTTATTGCAGGCTTGAAACTAGCCATCAAGTATGGAGCTCGACGACTCGTTCTACATTGTGACTCTCAGCTCGTGGTGAACCAGGACACTGGGACTTACCAAATCAAGGAGCAGAGGTTGCAAAAATACCAGTCAGAAGTCCACAGGCTAATGACCGAGTTCGACGAATGCCACTTCGAACAAGTTCCGAGAGCACAGAACGTAGAGGCAGACGACTTAGCAAAATTAGCCGCAGCCACTAAAAACTTCAACAAAGAAAGCGTGGTCACCCTCCTCCATTCAGCCATAGATCACACTGAGGTACTCTCTTTAAATTTGACTTGGGACTGGCGCAACCAATTTGTATCCTATCTGCAGGATGGAACACTCCCACTCGACAAAAAAGAAGCCAAGAAGCTCCGCGTACAGGCCGCCCGTTATTGCCTAATAAACCGCGAGCTCTATAAAAGGACGTTTGGCGGACCCCTAGCCAAGTGTCTAGGGCCGCAACAAACGCGACCAGTGCTCGAAGAGGTACATGAAGGACATTGCGGTGCCCATACAGGCAACCGCGCCCTCGTGCGCTGCCTGATACGGGCCGACTATATTGGCCCACCACTGAAGAAAGAACGCGAGCGGAATATGTCCGCCGACTGCGACAACTGC